GTTATGCATTTATTCCACCAAACACATAACAAACATTGTAACAAAGATTTGTGATAACATGTTTACAAAAAGACTGTCAAAATGTTCCTAAAGTAATTATAGCAGGGTGATTAATGCAGCCTGGAATTTGTAAGCCCATTCCCTCTGAGGCGTGTGGCGAGGGAGTTATGATCTCCTTGTTCTGCTCCCTCACGCACCACTTAGTGATGCCAGGGCCTAAATAAGACATCACTCTGGCCTCTGCATCATGCTGCCCACTGCCCACTGCCATTCTCCCCCAGACAGCCGCCCACTGGACCCCAGAAAAGCCGACCCAGTCTAGCTCTCCCAGAGGTAGGGAGGCTGGATGGACTTAGATTGAAATAAAACATGTAATAATTTGTGAGTGTGTCTGTCAGTGTGTGTGTGTGGCTGTCAGTGTGTGTGTCTATTTGTCAGTGTGTGTGTATCTATCAGTGTATATGTGTCTGTCATGGTATGTGTGTCTCTCATGGTATGTGTGTCTCTCATGGTGTGTGTGTGTGTGTGTCAGTGTGTCTGTTGTGATATGTGTGTTTGTCTGTCATGGTAAGTGTGTGTCTGTCAGTGCATGTGTGTGTCTGTCTGTCTTGGTATGTGTTTATCTTTGTATCATTGTGTCTGTCTGTCATGGTGTGTGTATGTCGTGTGTGGGTGTCTGTCAGTGTATGTGTGTCTGTCATTGTATGTGTTACGTCTGCCTCTGTATTGGTATGTGTGTCTGTCATGGTGTGTGTGTGTGTGTGTCTGTCGGTGTGTCTGTGACTGTTGTGGTATGTGTGTGTGTCTGTCATGTTATGTATACGTGTTTAGGTGACCTTTTGGAATGGCATTTTATTATTTCCCATGCCATGCCGGCCTCTCTTCGGCTGGTCCCACCTCTATGGCTGAGATATTCAAGCTTAATGATCTCAGCCAATCCAGTGCTTTCCCATAAGAAAGTTTTGAAAAGCTACTGCAAAACGCGGCACCAATCAGCACCTGAATGTAGCTGCAGCCACTAGAGGTGTCACTAGCCAGCAATGTAAACACTGCATTTTCTCTTTAAGAATTGCATTTTTGTCATTGAAAAGAAAAGTTTTGTAAGTTTAAAAAAAAGGTCCCTTTAAGAATTGCATTTTTGTCATTGAAAAGAAAAGTTTTGTAAGTTTAAAAAAAAAGGTTTTTTTAGCTGGTTCCTAGATTCAAAGCACATTTTTTAAGCCCTGGAGTTATGTATATTTTAGTTTTAAAAAGCTTAATGGAGAAGCAATGGTTTATTTATAAGCAAATGCAGATTTTAAATACCTTTAGCTGGATATACATTCTGAATGCTTTCTTTCAGGAAATAAAGGTTAAAACAATATGTGGGCTCCGTGCTAAATTGTATTTTTTTAAATGATTTATATTTCATATGTTTTTATTAGTATTTTATATAGCATAGATAGCGTACATTTTTAATGTGGACCCGTTTCCATCATTCCATTGTACAATGTATAGCTACCTATAAACAAGTAAAATCCATACTTTAGGCTGTCAAACAGCAGGGGGGCCACGGCATGACGTAGGACGCAGGGCCAGGGCGTGCCTAGGTGGTGGTTCGGGTGTGGAGAGCTGGGGACCGGTGTGCCGACACCATTAATGTGAATGCACATTGAATACCAATGCAAGGCTGACACATACCCCGTCGGCAAGCAGTATGGTATAACTGAATGAGGAGGGAGGTCGGTTCTGCATACGGACACCACATAGAAGGCTTGGCTTGAATTAAAAGGTGAAAAGGATATTGGAAGCTGGGCAACATTATTGTGTGGGATTAGGTCCTTTGAACCTGGACAGGAGGGCGACAAGTTGAAATAAGACGAAATAAGGTCTATAGATATTCACTGTGGGAGGAGTAGATAGAGCTCTACTGGAAATACAGGAATTATGAATCCACAAAACTGATACACAGAATAAAGAGACTCTTTGGTGGGGCATTGTTTAGCCCCTGGCCCCTACATTATGGGCTTTTGTAAAGTCAGCAGAAATAGTTCTGAATTAAGGCTGGGCCTGTAATTGTATGAGTATATTTTACAGTCCGCATCTGTAAATTGGAGTAAGCTGTTACAGAAACAGAGAAGGAAAAAAGGAAAAGAAGGAGAGAAAGGAAATGTTTATTTTTATTGATTTTTTTTTATTGCTGTATCATTTTTGCAGTTTTTTTTTTTTTATTTAGTTTTTTCGTTTTGGCTTGGCAATAAGAGACAAGTATATAAGGAAGAAATTTGGAGATATACCCAAAGCAAAAGGGCAAGGGAAATTAATTATGTGAATAAGCCTTGCTAAAAAAATAGACAAAGGGGTAAATCTATACTGTATCAAATACTAGTATAGATTAAAGGGGTAGCACAAAAATCATGAACCATACAACCTGTATATAATATAACACAGTTCTTCAAAGAATCTAAAATATGAAAAGAATCACACAATAGTGAAGCATGTACAGAAATATAAGATTCAATCCCGTAGGTAGAGAACTTGCAAGACCATGCTGTAGATCTGCGCTTATCTCCCTTCCATAGGGTATATAAATAGCGTTTCCTTTCTCAGTAGACTTGTATGTATGGACCAAAGTCGTAGATTCAAAACACCCAATCCTCAAAGGAAAAGAGGTATATAGAGCAGTATTGCAAACAAAAATAGATTTATTAATACAAATTGCACTTACATCAAGTGAAGATCATAGCAGCATATCACCACTCACAAGTGGTACCGAGGAAAAGAAGTCCCTCTATAGTAGTATAAAAAATATATAGGTAATAAAAAGTAAATATAATATACTAAAAACAATAAGAAGAAAACAATAAAATAACAAAAAGGAAAAATGTTCCTGATCAATATCCAACGCGTTTCGTCTATGTAGACTTCTTCAGGGATAAGAAAATGTCCAGAGAATCCTTCTTTTATAAGCCTCCAAACAATCTTGAAATGACCGCGGAAAAACCTTTACTTCCGGGTTTCGGTCTTGCCTCATTTTGATTGGTTGGACGAGATGATCTTTTCAGACGGATGTAGAAAAAGAACTCACTTCCGCGTTCCATACTGGAACGCATAACGTCCATAGCACACAATACAATATCATTAGCGGTACTTCCGCGTTCCACCGTGGAACGCACGGAAGACCAAGCAGCCAATCGGCTGTAAGGAAAACCGGGCGTCCCAAGTTGGGCGAAAAAAGGGGGGCTATCTCTTATGATATATAAACTTTACCCAATATAAAATATACAAAATACACAATGTAAAAGATAAATAATAATAATCTGCAAAGAAATATAAAAGTAAATATAAAAGTAAACACAACAGTGTCTATATATATATGTAAGTATCACAAATACCAAAAAGATTATATATAGAGGAATCACAATTAAGAGGAATCACAATTAAGGCAACACTATCTATATATAGAAATGTCATAAATGCAACATATCATCCCCACAAAAGGTATAAGAAAAGTGTGGATCTATATATACCACCCATAAAAAGGTGAAATCAAGAATATACAATACCTGAGAAAGGATGTGTATGTGCATACACATACATGCATGCACATGCATCTATATATACATACATATATGCGCACACACACACATCTCTATATCAAGAAAAATATATATATATATATACAACATCCACAAAAAATGTGGATATCCCAAAAAAATATGTATATATAGCCACACATAAAGGGACACTCACATGGATATGATGCTATACACGCAAAAGGTCATTTTAATCATGAAATGGATGGTAAATGTGTTATAATTAAAGAAGCCCCCCCAAGTCTATATCTTGGTTAAGGCCTCTCTTCAAAGTGTTTAATATATAGATCCAAAAAGCCTCCTTTTTAGCTAGATCATTAATTCTACTTCCTCCTCTCCAATGTGGAGTTACCTGGTCTATACCAATGGCCATAAAAGTAGACCAATTAAACATATTACAGGAATTACAGTGATTTGGAACACTGTGTTCTACCTTATGTGTCCTAATATTATTGAAATGTTCACAGAGTCTAGTATGTAGGGTTCTGGTAGTTCTTCCTACATACTGAGATCCACATCCACATTGTAAAAGATAAATCACATATGTGGATGTGCAATGTATAAATTTCTTTATGTTATATATCTGATTGGTATAAGATCCCACAAAAGATGTAGATTTCCTTTTTTGATGGGTACATGTAGAACATGTTCCACATTTGTGGAAACCTGGAGTTTTTTTAGATTGTAAAAAATTCTTTGGATTTGGACTTTTTATCAATTTAGGTAATAGACTGGGTGCCAATTGGTTTTTAAGGTTATCTGCCTTTCTGTATACAAGATATAGACTTGGGGGGGCTTCTTTAATTATAACACATTTACCATCCATTTCATGATTAAAATGACCTTTTGCGTGTATAGCATCATATCCATGTGAGTGTCCCTTTATGTGTGGCTATATATACATATTTTTTTGGGATATCCACATTTTTTGTGGATGTTGTATATATATATATATATTTTTCTTGATATAGAGATGTGTGTGTGTGCGCATATATGTATGTATATATAGATGCATGTGCATGCATGTATGTGTATGCACATACACATCCTTTCTCAGGTATTGTATATTCTTGATTTCACCTTTTTATGGGTGGTATATATAGATCCACACTTTTCTTATACCTTTTGTGGGGATGATATGTTGCATTTATGACATTTCTATATATAGATAGTGTTGCCTTAATTGTGATTCCTCTTAATTGTGATTCCTCTATATATAATCTTTTTGGTATTTGTGATACTTACATATATATATAGACACTGTTGTGTTTACTTTTATATTTACTTTTATATTTCTTTGCAGATTATTATTATTTATCTTTTACATTGTGTATTTTGTATATTTTATATTGGGTAAAGTTTATATATCATAAGAGATAGCCCCCCTTTTTTCGCCCAACTTGGGACGCCCGGTTTTCCTTACAGCCGATTGGCTGCTTGGTCTTCCGTGCGTTCCACGGTGGAACGCGGAAGTACCGCTAATGATATTGTATTGTGTGCTATGGACGTTATGCGTTCCAGTATGGAACGCGGAAGTGAGTTCTTTTTCTACATCCGTCTGAAAAGATCATCTCGTCCAACCAATCAAAATGAGGCAAGACCGAAACCCGGAAGTAAAGGTTTTTCCGCGGTCATTTCAAGATTGTTTGGAGGCTTATAAAAGAAGGATTCTCTGGACATTTTCTTATCCCTGAAGAAGTCTACATAGACGAAACGCGTTGGATATTGATCAGGAACATTTTTCCTTTTTGTTATTTTATTGTTTTCTTCTTATTGTTTTTAGTATATTATATTTACTTTTTATTACCTATATATTTTTTATACTACTATAGAGGGACTTCTTTTCCTCGGTACCACTTGTGAGTGGTGATATGCTGCTATGATCTTCACTTGATGTAAGTGCAATTTGTATTAATAAATCTATTTTTGTTTGCAATACTGCTCTATATACCTCTTTTCCTTTGAGGATTGGGTGTTTTGAATCTACGACTTTGGTCCATACATACAAGTCTACTGAGAAAGGAAACGCTATTTATATACCCTATGGAAGGGAGATAAGCGCAGATCTACAGCATGGTCTTGCAAGTTCTCTACCTACGGGATTGAATCTTATATTTCTGTACATGCTTCACTATTGTGTGATTCTTTTCATATTTTAGATTCTTTGAAGAACTGTGTTATATTATATACAGGTTGTATGGTTCATGATTTTTGTGCTACCCCTTTAATCTATACTAGTATTTGATACAGTATAGATTTACCCCTTTGTCTATTTTATATTGGTGTATGTGAGGTACACTTCTGGGTGTTTGGCACTGTTTTCTGGTTTTTGTTTGGGATATTATATAGTACCTCTCTCTTCTATTTTTCTGTTTATTGCTAAAAGAATACCGCCAACAATCTTTAAATCTCAGAATCCGTCTTAATTCAAGAAAGTACATAAAGGCAACTCTGTTAGGGTGGGTGCAGCCTCACATCCCAGTTACCGTTTGCTCTGAATCTCCCTTTGCCTTTTTCTTTTGGTGGGTTTGTGTGAAAGAAAAGAGTGAAAGGGGAAAAGAAATAAAAATAAAAATATGTTTATTTATTTTTTTACAATCTTAGACAGCAAGCAAGCTATAAACAAGTAAGAAAAGAAGTCTGATAATAAAACCGAAAAATGGTTATCCTTTTTTTCTCCACAATCTAGTACAGGGATAGGCAACGTTCAGCACTCCAGATGTTGTGGACTACATTATTATTATTAATGCCATTTATATAGCGCCAACAGGTTCCGTAGCGCTTTACAATATTATGAGAGGGGGGATGTAACTATAAATAGGACAATTACAAGAAAACTTACAGGAACGATAGGTTGAAGAGGACCCTGCTCAAACGAGCTCACAGTCTATAGGAGGTGGGGTATTAGAAACATTAGGACAGAGAATATCAAATAGGTGGGAGTGAAGCAGAGCTGGAGGAGAGAGTAAAGCACTGTCCTATAGGAGAGAGCGAGAGACAGGTATGTAAGGTAGAGGTTACTCTGGGACGCCATAAGCTTTCCTGAAGAGATGGGTTTTAAGGTACTTCTTAAAAGATGCAAGACTAGGGGAGAGTCTGATGGCAGTAGGCAGGCTATTCCATAGGAAGGGAGCCGCCTGCGAGAAGTCCTGCAAGCGTGAGTTGGCTGTACGGGTGTGGACAACGGACAGGAGGTGGTCACGGCAGAGCGGAGAGACCGAGAAGAGGCATACCTATGGATCTGTGAGGAGATATAAGAGGGGCTAGAATTGTTCAGTGCTTTAAATGTATGTGTTAGCACTTTGAATTGACTCCTTTAGCATACAGGGAGCCAATGTAAGGACTGACAGAGGGGTGAGGTGTGAGAGGACCAACTAGAGGGGAAAATCAGTCTGGCGGCAGCATTCATTACAGACTGTAGCGGGGCAATACGGCTTTTGGAGAGACCAATCAGGAGAGGGTTACAGTAATCCATGCAGGAAATTACTAGAGCATGGACAAGCTCCCCCATAATGCTCTTACACCCATACTGCTGGCAAAGCATCATGGGAGGTGTAGTCCAAAACATCTGGAGTGCCAAAGGTTGCCTATGCCTGATCTAGTACGTCAGAACCAGATCCACAAAAAGATACTGAGCTTATGACTAAAGACCCAGTAGTTGAAGCCCTCAAAAGGTCTGTGACTGAAGAAATATCACCCTCAGAACATTTAAATACATGTTTTGAGATTCAATTAGAGAAGATTAAATCTGAAATTCATATCAACATGTCAGAATTGAAAAAATAAGTTTTATTATTGGGCTCCAAAGATACGTTACCGAAGAAAAAATTGAAGTACTGTCATATCAACAAGATACTGAACAAAAGGAGCAAAAGATTCTGAGAAAGATTGATGATATGGAACAAAAATTGGCAGATACAGAGGACAGAGGCAGACGTAACAATGTAAAGCTCAGACACAACGAAATAAATCACGAATGACCAACTAGAAGAGTTTGTATTAGAATTCTTTTCAAAAATTAGGAACAACAACTCAACAACATTGGAAAGATGTCATAGAACGATGAGAACACTCTCCAAGAGATGTTTTCATATGCTGCACATCATATCAAATCAAAATAAGTTGGAGGAGTACCGCTTGGGACAAAGAGGTGTGTTTGCTGCCCAAAAAGCATAAAGAATCTATTTATGGAGCCAATATTGCATAGGCTCCAGTACATGTGAGTGGTTTCAGCCATTTTCACCATCATTTATCCTCTTTTGGGAACCATCTGCACTATATTTATGTTTCTGTTTCCTTTTGTATGTATATTCAAGCATATAAGTTTGAGACCGTCATGGTACTGAAGGGGTGCGTGTACCCCTCTTTTGCTCAAATTGTAATAGCGCTCCACTTGTTGGTACATAGCCTATACCACTTTTTCTTGTGTTTTCATCAAAACAACTGTTGATTCCACTAGATCCAGTATGTAATTCAGCAATTTAGCCACTCATGTGGAGAGAAAAAGTGAAGAAACCATAGCGCATTGTGTATTAAAACAGAAAATACGCTTTAATGGTCCCACTTACAAGATACAAAGCAAAAACAATGCCCATCAATGATTGCACACGGCCCCCAGTCCAGGTTACAGCTCTGCAGATGTATGGAGGAGTAACAGGAACCAGGAACAAAAAAAAATAAGAAAAAAAATAAAATAAAATAAAAAATAAAACAAGCAAATACTAATAAAATAACAAACTGAACTCGACGCATTTCGTCTAGATAAACTAGATTTCCTCAGGAGTGTTGATAAAGTGCTTGTATGTGCATAAATAAAGTGATGTAGTCTGTATATATAGGCATGCCTCTTTTAAATGTCCCTCCTCCTCCGACCGGCCAATCATTTCCAAGATCTTCATCTGTTCGTGATCTTCCTGATAGTTATATGCCATATATGGAGATTCGGTTATTTCTTCGTTGAAATGCAATTGCGTTCCACTCACTCGGAAGTCCAGTATATCTCTCTGGCATGGTCCATGATATCATCACGTTTGGAACGCACAAATGCGTTCCAGAGTTCTCCGGTAACCGGGAGGAGGTTCTCAAAGAGAAATATATATGCGGACAAGAAGATAACAATCAGAGAACGTTCCAGTATCAATTCAAAATCATTTTGTTATAATGGCAATGTGTTTGTACATATTAATTCATGAACTTAATACAGTATTAAAAGAATACAAAAAACAAAAACTGTATATACAATAAATCCTCTATTTATAATATCACACCAAATGTGTTCCATGACACCACATTTAGACACCATGCATTACTTAGTTGGCCTTGTGGGAGGGCTTCTGGATACACCATATAGGAAGTAGCAATAACTTCAAAAATGGGAATAAGAAATACAAAAATAAAATATGAATGGACATGTGGAATCAATCTAAAAAAAATAAATAAATAAAAATAATACAAATAATAATAAAATAAAATAGACTAAGAATCAATATAAATGAAAAAAAAATACTAAGAAAAATAAAAGAAAAATCCAAATAATAATAATAATACTTTAAAATACTGAAAAAATGGAAAAAAAAATGGAAAAAAATAATAATAATCTTATACTAAAAAACAAACTAAATCAAAATCCACATTCAGTCATAAAGGCTGCAGTGTTCTAAGTTTATGTATCCAGAAACCCTCTTGTCATTCCTAGCTCTTGAGTCCAAAGTGACCTGTTCTATCACTGTCCAGGAAAAATTTTCTACCTTAAAGTTAGGACAACTGTTGCAATGTACTGGGATGGAGTGATCCAAGTTTTATATGTGTTGGTTTTCTATTTCAATGTACAGTTCAGGGGTCAGGGGTAGATGTGTGGTTAGGAACCGCTTGTGTGTATCGACAATTTCTTGACGTTAATGGTCAGGCTGGCTTCAATTAATACCCAAGACCTTAATTCATTTCAGAAAAGGAATATGCTTTTAGACTGGTTGAAAAAGAAAAGAGTTCAAATATTATTATTATTGCCATTTATATAGCGCCAACAGATTCCGTAGCGCTTCACAATATTATGAGAGGGGGGATTTAACTATAAATAGGACAATTACAAGAAAACTTACAGAAACAATAGGTTGAAGAGGGCCCAGCTCAAACAAGCTTACAGTTTGTACAGCTTACATAGGATGTATACAGGAAACTCACTGGAGACCAAAGGACAAAATTGATTTGCGTACAAAGGTTTTTTTCTCTAATGATTCAATCTTCACTTAAGGATAAAAAAAAGAGGGGAGTAGCAATAGAATTTTCTAAAGGTATAAATCTGATAATCAAATTCCAAGATATAGACATGGAAGGAAGGTGGATAATTTTGATATGTGAGATTGAAGGGAATGTATACACTATAGCAAGTATTCATGCCCCGAACCAACCCAGTGAGCTTCAGCAATACATTTTTGTCTAGGTTGGAAAAGATCAGGCAGGGATCAGTCATTGTGGCTGGAGACTTTAATTGCGTACAAGATCCATCGTTACATAAAAAAAACAAGAGGGAAGAATAAGATAGACAGAAAATCT